GATTAAGTGGGCGTGGTCGTGCGACCATCCATATGCCCAAAACGGTCATATGAACGTCATGTTACTCAAATTTCCAGTTTATTATTTGCACAATGTCATAGTGGTCTATGGTGCGTCGAAAAATACGAAAATATGCCGAAGAGTGCCGTTATTACGAGTCGTTTGCGTAATGAAAATGTAATTCTGAAAAAAGGAGAAATTTCATTTCATCGGTAAGTAAAAAATATTGGATATATATCAGTTTATCGAGATATAATCACATTTTTTTTTCCGTGAGATTGTGTCAGTTGTTAACATAGTGCTTGCAGATATCGATAAAATGCTATCGATAATACTTAACCCTAATATTATGAATGGCAATCAATTTACATGCAATTATAACATTAAATCTATTAAGATAAATAGTTAACAGAATTTTTTAGAGATTTGTATGTTTTTGCTACATAATAGTGTTTTTACTATTAAATTTTGTAATTCATTGTGTAATGTAAACAATAAAGAGTTTTGTATTGTATGTTTCAGTTTTCCTAGAAACCCCGACATAAAAGAAAAGTGGATTGACGCGTGATAGAAATGGTCAATGGTTTCCTTCTAAAACTAGTTACATTTGTTCAACATATTTTTCTGTAAATGATTTCATTAATATTAAATAATATGATAAATTACTTACAAATTTATAATGAAATATTATGTATTACATCTAATTATCTGATTATATTGTGAAATTAAATGTTATATTGGGATATTATTGAAATATAGTATATATCAATGAGACATCTTTGTTATTATTTTCCATTCTTAATATATTGTGCTTCATGTAATACCTAGTTAGTAAAAACATATGGATCATTAAAAATACAAAAAAAAATTAGCTAGGTATCAAAAAATAAAACAATGACTATATAATAGAAAAAAGGCTAATTCAAATTATAAAAATCTAGCCCCCAAAGGGCCAAATTATCATCACTGTCACCTGCTCTTGATATGTGACCCCGTCGCAGCCAACTTCTGATTAAAATTGACAAAAATCGCAGTTACATTGCTACTTTAGCAAGATAGGAATTGGTCTAATTGATCGAGCCGTTTCAAGTGAAAGTTGATTACAATCATTGTGAAGTGATTACATACATATGGTATTTATTTTCATTTCATTTTTTTTCGTGAATATGCGAAATGATAAATTAATAAATTATTTTATTATATTAACCCAATATATCAATGATTTTCTGATTATCGATATCAAATTGTGAATCACAGGGCACTTCACTATTTCAGTGTTGACAGAAGCGTAAAATTCTTTGCATTATATTTTGAAAAATTGTTTTAATGCAGATACGTCGTGCAATACCATTTTTATGTAATGAAACATGTATTTCAAATGTTTACACATTAACTAATTTAATATCTGCGAACAAAATATAATATTTAGAACTAATAAAAGTAATTGTGCAAATTTTTATTATAGCTAGCCATACATTTTGTGTATTACTGTAAAATCACCTGTATTAATAGGCTAGTAAATACTTATTTTGCTGAAACTTTTGTAGCCAATGGAAGCATCGCTCTCTTTGTGAGCTGAATAGGTAAAGTTTTATGTCTGTGTGATATCTGGCACGCGCGGTCCTAGTACTAATGTTAGTACGTTATCATTCTAACTTTTTTATCTATTCTGTGGGTTAAACGATTCGTCGTCGGCTAAGCTCTCGTCACAGGATATAACGCAATCAAAATTATCAAATTTTATTTTTCAACCTGACAATCTCACAGGAACATATCAGACAACCATAACGAAGGGAAGCCGTATCAAGTGTATTATATTATTTTATTTTGCATGGTAGATCAACGGTTGCATAAATGAACTTGCACCATCGTTACATAAATCAGATAACCAATTATAGATCCACACAGTTAGCCTTAAAATTAGACAACAATTTTGAGTTCACTCGGTAGTTGTGAGGTATGATAAAAGACACGTATTACACAAAGGACACACGCAAACAGTACATTTCTTCTTTTTTCGTTATTTATCGGATAATCGTTCGTTTGTACTTTCTAAAACCATTTTTGACATCTTGGACCTTATTGACTCACAACTAGAGTTAAAAAGATCCAGATTCAAAATCATGCTCAAATCATTGAAGGACTTACCTGCTCGTTATAGGAATGTATTCCGTCTGTAATTTGTTTTTGAAAACGGTACATTCAACGGCTTTATTATTATAATTTTTTTATAACTAACGAAGTAACAACAGCCGGCTAATAAATAACATTTGCTCTGAATAAAAAAATGGTAATCACAAAAACATCACTGACTCGTGAAGGATTTGAACCTCCGCCCTCCGATGATCAAGTAGGAAACCTATATCGGCGCTCTTACCTACTGAGCTAACGAGTCTACAAACAGAGCGACCTATTTACGATACGGTATTGAAGAGATGACGTCAGCACCTGCTGTGACGTTGCAACGTCGTTGTTGCTGTCGCAGCCAAACTGCTTCTAGACAAAAATAATAAGGGCAGACGTGAGTTTCACAATTTTCCGAATTTACGATTTATTGGCCATTTGGGAAATCTTTATATTGATTTCACCGAACGATGTTAGGACATTTTGAACTTGGAAATACCAGACTCGGTGTTTTATCCGTTTTCCAATGTCAACACAGGAATGTCACCTCAGCTGGAAGAAGAAATTATAGAATTGACAACAAACGAGGAAATAAAAATCAAGTTAAAAAATGGTTACCAAGAATTTTGGTAACAAAAATCCCGCAATCGTATCCTGGATTATGGTCAATCACGATTCTTGATAGTATTCCCATCGTCATATTTGTGTGAACGGGGATTAAGTGCTGTGGCAACACCGCTTACTTAAAAAAGAAATCGTTTGCATGTTACCGAACGTGGCGACTTGCGACTGTTCTTGAGTAAATTGGATATCAACAGACTCATTTGCTCTGAATAAAAAAATGGTAATCACCAAAAATATCTCTGACTCGTGAAGGATTTGAACCTCCGCCCTCCGATGATCAAGTAGGAAACCTATATCGGCGCTCTTACCTACTGAGCTAACGAGTCTACGAACGGAGCGACCTATTTACGATACAGTATTGAAGAGAGACGTCATCACCTGCCGTGACGTCGCGACCTTGTCCTGGTACATACTCGCGATTCATACACAAAAATATCAACTAAAAGGAGCTTTGACATTGGGCGCTAATTCGTAAATATGTCTTTAGTTTGATTCTATTATTTTGCCCCAAATTGGATATTTGAATATAGGCAAGCTCTAAAATACGTTTACAAACAATATGAATAATTTTATAATACATTGCATTACATACCTACCGTCCAAAGACAAAAATTAAAAAAAAAAAAAAAACAATATTGTTCTAAGTTAAAAATCTAGCTTTAGCTTTTGATACACAGGATAAACGGTCTTTGAAATTTTAAACGATTTTTATACCTCCTCTTGAGATATTTTATCTTACCCTACTCATTAGTAAATGTTCTTTCGGCGCATCTAAATTTCTATATAGATTCACACAAACCATCTCCTCTGAGAAAGACCTTACACTCCAATACATCGGATCTGCGTCTGCTTCTTTCTGATCTGCCATTGCTTAGAGATTATTAACACAGGCAAATTGTGAACAAACCTACGTTTGGATTGTTGAAATACTGCCGACTCTAAGGAAGAACTAAACTCTTTGTTATATGCTGTCGTTACACATCTTAGCTCATTTTCGTACATTTTCGTCGAAAACTAAGAGGAGTTTTGCCTGATCAGTGAATACCGGCTCAAACTGTAACTGAGTCGAGGTTTGGTGATGGGAACGAAGCGAAATAAAAAAATTGCCTTTTACTACTAAAACTAGAGTTTTGTTTGATGAGCGAATAGCGCCTCAAATCTTAACTGAATTCGAATTTTGATGAGGGGACAAAAAAGTTGGAGACAAAAAAATTCAACACAAAAATATCACTGACTCGTGAAGGATTTGAACCTCCGCCCTCCGATGATCAAGTAGGAAACCTATATCGGCGCTCTTACCTACTGAGCTAACGAGTCTACAAACGGAGCGACTAATTTTGGATATAGCTTCGAAGTTATGACGTCGTCGTTACGGACGACCGTGCCTAAACAATGACGCATCGATTTCGCAGCGTATAAATATAATCGTTCATTCGCCGATTCCCTCGTGTATTTTATCAGATGAATGATTTATAGCAACAGTGTAATCTGAAATTCTGGACATATTATAGCCATTATTGTGTTGTCACTGAGATTTCCAATTTCAAGCTTATATTTTACAATTTTATTCTTTAAACTAAATTCATTCAAAAGAATGGATGTATGTTAAGTTTGTAAATAACTTATGTATAAATAAACAAATATTATAAATTTATAAGTATCACCTTCAACTGAATTTTGCACTTTCTATAACGTTAACATGTAATTGTGAAAGAAACGTTGTATGAAAGAGAGAAAGAATGTTGCGTGTGTAAGATAAAATAAGTAAGGTCAGAGTGATTGGTTGTGTGAAAGAGAAATGAGATATAAACCCTAGTTGCAAGAGAGACGAAAAAAAGTGCAATGTAGACGGTACCTAGCCTTGCATTTACATATTTTATATAATCTTTGGAAATACTGTATATTGTCATGAAAATTCTTCCACCTACGGGAAGCTACATCTTAAGCAGACGACGTAGACTATAATTAGGAAACATATACATATATAAAACTATCCTTTCCACCCAGCTGCTTCGCCAGACTGTTCTAGTTTTAAATCCAGAAATGAGAAAATTCCATAAAAATTTTCATCCCCCTAATTAACCCCTTAGGGGTTGAATTTCGTTAAATTCCGTCTTAGGGAGCACCTTCGTCCTAAAAAGAACTAGCATCTAAAATTTGAAACTCCTAGCACTTGTAGTTTCTGAGATGTCGTGATGAGTGAGTAAGTGATAATTAGAGAACGGCTATACACGATATAGATACAATATTACCGTTGGTCCGTCCGACGTCGACGAGCAGATGGCTGTCGGTGACTTGTCGTACAGTCGCGTCGACAATTTGTCCGACGCTGATGGCGGCCAGAGTGAAGTATCTTTCGGCGAGTACGTCCGCGCGGTCGCTCACCGTGTACAAGAAGTCGCACGGGTTGTATGACGTCACGCGGACCCTATGACAACTGCCTGAACAAGTGCCAAAATAAATCATCACAATGTACATCGACTGCCCTCCGCAGCCGAGTGGCTCGCGTGACGGTTTCGAGGTGTCATCGCCATCGCTTCAGGACACGGGTTCGATACCACGTCGGGTTAATATAATAAATGTCTGCGGTCCGAGTGTTGCGGCCCCTTCGTTGTCTCAGATACTATTTAACACGAGGGCTAGAGCTACGTATCTTGGTACCTGAGCGATGTATGTGATCTCTTGTCTAATTCTGTTCAGATCCAGATTCGACGGTCGGAGTTTCTGTTCTTTTTACACACATAATTATTGTATAACTCAAATATTAATATGATTAGGTTCTAATATTACTTTTCTCGTGAAAACTTTACTCCTATATTTATACGCAGGTGATTTGATTTCAAGTAAAGTGAAATTAAAGCAAAATAATTATAATATCTATATTTATTTACCTATTGGGTAGAAGCTGGCAACGACCTGTTCATCATCAAGATCCTCGTGTACGGCGACGTGTTTAAGGCTCATGGTGCCCGCGCACCCATCCCGCAGGCGGAACTGCACCGACCGTCCTAATATCTTCACCACCTAATGATTTATCACATTATACTAATTACATATCCGTGAGAAATCGACAAAAATAACACAGCCACACAAAAAAAAATCAGCCTGGGGGTCTGAATATGTATACAATATGTTTTCGGGGTCGCTGAATCCAAATCCGAGGTCATTTTTACCCTTATTTTGGATTCAGCAACCCTGAAAAAATATAGTTTACATAGTCCCACTCCTCCATAGACTCCCAGGCTGAAAAATTTATTTTTATATGGTTTTTGGGGGTGTTAGTGTATTTTGAGGTTATGTCGAAAACCTGACTTGATGGGGGTAAAATTGACCTCGGATTTGGATTCAGCGACCCCGAAATGATATAGTATATATAGTGAGACCCCCAGGCCGGACTTTTTTTTGTGTTGCTGTGTAATCCAAAAGCAAAGAATATGCTTTCTCAGTGTTGCTCATCAGGAAATAGACAAGACGAACAATCAATAAAATATGTATCAGTTTCTGAGCGTTTTTTTAATAAAGTCTATACTTGCTTCTTATGAGTTGTGATAAAATACTTTATTTTGTACAATAACACTTTGTAACAATAAAAGTTCATAAGCTACAATATGTACAGTTTTCCAAAATTTTATTATAACATAATACAACATTTATACGCTCAGGGTATCTTCACATATGACCGGATATTGATTCAGATTCCATTTCATTATTTATGTTCCTCTCCATTTCTCAATTAAAAAAAAACACAAATCAATTATAGATTTCTTGAGTGACTAGATGACCAGTTGGATTAGGTGATTATAATAGGTGATCATAATTACTAAAATACCTATGAATATATATAACCAATCAAAGTGTTTACAAAACTATATGTAAATTGTGAAAGTAATATTTTTTGGACTTCTTCACTATCTTTCAATTACATTTACTTATGTCTCACACATATTATAAGGCAATTTGATCTGAAACAAAATTACAAGCATATAACCTTAAAATATTTAAGCTTTATTTTACCTTGGACGAAAAAACAATTAAACAAAAAAAAATCACTGACTCGTGAAGGATTTGAACCTCCGCCCTCCGATGATCAAGTAGGAAACTTATATCGGCGTTCTTACCTACTGAGCTAACGAGTCAATGAACGGAGCGACCTATTTACGATACGGTATTGAAGAAATGACGTCATCACCTGCCGTGACGTCGCGACCTTGTCCATGCTCCCAAACAATGCCACGTCGATTTATAAACACAAATGTCAACAAAAAGGAGCTTTGGCTTTGGGCGCTCCTTCATAAAACGTTCTTTAGTTTGTTTTTATTATTTTGCACCAAATTGGATATTTGAATATAGGCAAGCTCTAAAATATGTTTACAAACAATATGAATAATTTTATAATACATTGTATTACATACCTACCGTCCAAGAATAAAAATAATTAAATAAAAAATTTGTTCAAAGTTAAATATCTAGCTTTAGCTTTTGATACACAGGATAAACGGTCTTTGAAAATTTAAACGTTTTTTATACCTCCTCTTCAGATATTTTATCTTACCCTACTCATTAGTAAATGTTCTTTCAGCGTATCTAAATTTCTGTATAGATTCACACAAACCATCGCCTCTGAGAAAGATCATACACTCCAATACATCGTCTCTGCGTCTGTTTCTTTCTGATCTGCCATTGCTTAGAACATATGAACACAGGCAAATTGTGAACAAATTTAAAGTTGGATTATTGAAATACTTCCGACTCTAAGGAAGAACTAAACTATGGAGTAGACTGAAGTGAGCAAACGGGGGCAAGCGCTTCGAAAATAGTACGCTAATTCAAGTGCACTTACGAATTAATCCGTCAGTCGGAGTTATGATAAAGCATTAGTTGATAAGTTACGCTCTCTCGTTTTAAATTGAAAACAATTAGAAAAATTGCCTAGTTGCACTAATAAATGGTGTGGAAAGTTCATTATGACTTCAAGTTACACGAGAGATGGGATATCATTTCGCAGGTATGTGATTTTCTATCTTTATTTTGAAATTAGAATAAGTCCAAAAAAATAATTACAAATTATTATTTCTGAAATGCGCTCATTGATGTCTACCATGCCGTCTCTTTCTGATGCATTGATGTTTATAAGGAGACGTCCCTTTTTTTTCTCGGTAGTGCTGTACAACGACATCGTAACAAAATATATCGACAAATTCCGAATATAGATTTGTAAATTATTATTTAATCGATTTAATTTAAATATAATACCATAAGTAAGAAATTTTTGTTTCATTAATTTTAATTAATTTATTAATCATAAAATCGGAAAAATTATTAAAATTACTGACATGAAATTTGGCAACGTAGTAATATTTTGACAGTGTCAGTTAAAAAGATTTTTATAATAAGTCCGAATTATGGGGTGCTAAGTGTTTCACAAGTTTGTATGAAAGTTCAGACAGGACCGGATTAGGGAGTTAATATGGAATCTATAAATGCCTGATCCGAAGAAATACAATTTGACGTTCGTATGTTTGTGTTCTGTGCGCTCCTTTATGATTTATCTGATGAATCTTTGATGATATAGATATTAGCCCAATAAAGAGACAAAATAATTTAGATTTTTCAATTACTCAGCAAGTATTAGGTAGGTGTATGTTCTAGGCTTTTACTCCAGACTTTTTGAAAATTTTAAAAATAGACGCTGTTATACAGTTCTTCTTTACCCACACTGTACTTACCTTCTCTGGCAAGTATCTTTTTATGTAGATTGGTTATTAAAATAGTGTTCTTAAGATATGTTTTTACAGATTCTATCACTAAATTCGGAAAATACTTAAGTTTCGCAGCAGCACCATCAATTAATGAAACTAGTTTAAATAATAAGTATAACCGTTCAAGAAAAATGTAAGATATAAATGAGAACGATATGGTGTTGATAATAATATAAGTTACGAAACTATAATCAGCTAAATCGGGCCAACCGTTCTCGAGTTTTAGCGAGACAAATTTACGAGAAAAATTAGAAAACTTGTGTATTCCTAATAATAATGCGGAATGCGGAATTCCTAATAATAACTTATATATATAATCATATGCGAAATGTTTATACACTTTTTATATTAATTATAATTAATATAAAAAGTGTAAAGTTACTATAAACCGTTTGACAGGGTTAAAACTAAATTAAGTCTTGTTTATGTCATAGAACTACCAATGTTCATCTTATTTAACTGTTAATTGACAGTTTTGTGAAAAGGGAAAATGTTAATGGTATGATCTAAATGTAGACCCATAAGTAATGCGTTTCAAAAAGTAAATACAAAAAATATTTTTACCACAAAATTATTTGAATTTTGCCGAAACTGACCTTCCCCGCACCACAAATCGGTAAGATGAATTTATCCAGACTGACGCGACCAGTCTTCTCCATGAGCTAAACTCTTGGTTATATACTGTCGTTACAATTTTTAGGAGTTTTGCCTGATCAGTGAATACCGGCTCAAATCCTAACTAAGTCGAGGTTTGGTGATGGGAACGAAGCGAAATAAAAAAAATTGCCATTACTACAAAAACTAGAGGAGTTTTGTTTGATGAGCGAATAGCTCCTCAAATCAGTTGGAGACAAAAAAATTCAACACAAAAATATCACTGACTCGTGAAGGATTTGAACCTCCGCCCTCCGATGATCAAGTAGGAAACCTATATCGGCGCTCTTACCTACTGAGCTAACGAGTCTACAAACGGAGTGACCTATTTACGATACGATATTGAAGAGATGACGTCATCAGCTGCGCGACCTTAGTCTAACTACCAAATAACGACGCATCGATTTATAAAAAAACGTTAGCTACGTCAAAAAGAGTTCTTGGCACCAACTTATAGAATCGTTCCCAAATTAGCCTGATACAAATATCAACTTTCAGTATGGAGATCAAACATTAAAACATAACAGATGTGGTTTTTTTTTATTATGAGGGTTTCATATATTTCCTTTTTGTAATATATGAATTAATCCATCGACATTTTCTTTTTTTACTAATAATTAGTAATAAAAAATCCCTTAATTTCTTAATGGCACGATAAGCAAAACACATATAAAGTGACGTCTACGTATTTTCACGCTGTTATTTATGTTACTTCCATGAAATACATAAATTTTTCTAATATTATATTTGGAAACTCAATTTTTTATAAAAACATGGACAATAAATTTTTTAAAATTTTTGAAAAATATTAATAATGAAATACGACTTCAATCGATATTAGGTACTATATTGAGTTAAGTATATTTTGTTTTGAATCCAATGAATATTTCCATGGGAATATTGCATACCAATAGCCTAAAAATATAACATGCAATATATACAGCAGACTTTTGAGTTAAACACATATTATACTAAATATCAATTAAATCCACTCAGAAATATTTTATATAAAAGTTTTATGATATTAAACTACTACAAAAAAAAAGTACCTAAAAAATAAAGTTTAATAAAAATCACTATTTCCTGTAAATTTTTTGTTGGATTTCAGTAATTTTCATCATCGCTATGATAAATAAAACCAAAATTTGTGAAAAAAGCCGTGTTAGTAATTTTGCGTGAAGAAAATGAAGGTTTTTTGACTTGATGTTTTTGTTATACCTTCCGTTGCTAAAATGAGATGGATTCTTAAATATAGTCTCTTGTAATTGGCGCACAAACTTGATTAAAAATATTCCAGGTTTTTATCGAATTATTTCCGTTTTTCTTGTATTTGTATCAGGCTCTATAACTCACTATGTATAATTCGTATTATAAATTGTAGGTGATTTCAGGATAATATGTTGTACTGTGGTCGCCAGCAGCAGAAATTTAGCGTCTAGATTAAGTTTACCATTCGTTTCAATGAAAACAAAAACATTATCACTATTATTTAAGGAAAATAGGAGGATGGGCCATGACCCTCCACGCTGGCCCAATGCGGATTGGAGGGTATTAACGACTGCAAATGCAGCCGGGACCAACGGCTTAACGTGCCTTCCGAAGCACGGAGTAGCTCGAGATAATAATTTTTGGTCACCCATCCCGTAACCGACCCTTGCGAAAGTTGCTTAACGATTACGATCGCGGGCCGCGGCGCTTATCCACTACGCCACCGAGCTACTCCATAGACAGATATTTCCATGTTCTACCAAATTTAAAACGATTCGGCAGTACAGCTTTTTACTTTTGTCAGATTATGATGTATTCACAATAGTCACAATAAGTTCACTGGGATTGTCACTACTTGTGAATGCTACTGCCTTTCTTGTTGTTTTGCCGTTTTCCGTGATTGAGTTGTTATTATTTTATTGTTGTTTTCTTATAGTTTTGTTTTAGTTGTTATCTTTTTGAAGTAAAATATGGACGATTCCGGTGCAGGCCCGAGTGGCCTACAACAATTACCTTTGACATTTCAGGAAAATTTTCCAATGTCTTAATAATATGTGAATAATTGTTATAAAAGTAGTAATAAAAATTTCATTTATTTTATCTTTCTTTCTTGGGCATAGATATAACTAAACTCTATTCTGATTATATACCCTTACAATAAGAATTTATCAATACAACAGATAGATAGCTTTAGTTCCATGTAGGGGTCGCATCGCAACCCCGAGAAAATTGAAAATTGCCCAGCTCTTTCGGACTACCTAACGTTCAAAGTTCCGGCAAAACTATTATATATAATTTTTTTATCTTGTAAATAAAATGTTCTTCACTGCTGCTTCTGTGATCCTCTTTTCTCTAATGTTATAATGAATGGAGAAAGGTCATGGGTTCGAATCCCATCTCAGGGTGCCAGGCACCAAGTGGATTTTTTAAGTACTTTTCATTAAGAATATTTGTCAATATAGCATTAGCAGCGTTTATTAAAAAAAAGGTACCTATTTTATCGTTATCTTTATAATATGAAATTTAATCTGCGTGAAATAAAGTATTTTATGAAATGAACCGCAATTGATTAAAAAGAATACAGGTTCGTAAAAGTTGAACAATTACGAGATATAAAACTTTTAAATCTTATATTATGAAAATCAATTGCCGTTCGTTTGTCTCGCTAAAACTCGAGTAAGGCGGGGTCGATTTAGTTGATTTTGGTTTTAAAATGTTTGTCGTAGTCCAGGGAAGGTTTAAAGGTTGCGAGGTGATAACAAAAACAATGAAAATTCAGAACTTATAAAAAAATGAACGAGTAAAAAACAAAGAAATCACAAAAATATCACTGACTCGTGAAGGATTTGAACCTCCGCCCTCCGATGATTAAGTAGGAAACCTATATCGGCGCTCTTACCTACTGAGCTAACGAGTCTACAAACGGAGCGACCTATTTACGATACGGTATTGAAGAGATGACGTCAGCACCTGCTGTGACGTTGCAACGTCGTTGTTGCTTTCGCAGCCAAACTGCTTCTAGACAAAAACAATATGGGCAGACGTGAGTTTCACAATTTTCCGAATTTATCTAAATCCTGCAGTAACGACAATTTATTTGCCATTTGGAAAATTAGAACATTTTGAACTTGGAAATACCAGACTCGGTGTTTTATCCGTTTTCCAATGTCAACACAGGAATGTCACCTCAGCTGGAAGAAGAAATTATAGAATTGACAACAAACGAGGAAATTAAAATCAAGTTCAAAAATGGTTACCAAGAATTTTGGCAACAAAAATCCCGCAATTGTATCCTGAATTATGGTCAATCACGATTCTTGATAGTATTCCCATCGTCATATTTGTGTGAACGGGGATTTAGTGCTGTGGCAACACCGCTTACTTAAAAAAGAAATCGTTTGCATGTTACCGAACGTGGCGACTTGCGACTGTTCTTGAGTAAATTGGAACTTGATATCATCAACAGACTTATTAAACAGCATCAGATTCATCCTTCACATTAGTTTTTATATAAGAAGCAATTGTGTTTATTTTCAATAAAAAATACTCTGCTTGAATACTATTATTAAGTTGTGTTTCAATAATCATTTTCATTGGCAGGTGTAGCCCTAAGCGTTAACTTGAGACCTGAGAGCCGTTGTGTATTACCTACTGCACTCAGGTTTCAAGTTAACTCTAGCGAGTTCTAGTAAAAGTCTCGTTTAAAATTAATGTTTAATCTACGCTAATATAGCTTATAATTTAATTTGAACAACTATAACTAGTGGTTTCTAAGAAGGTGAAAAAATGGGGGCCTTAAAAAAATATTTATTCTCAAAGTGGGCAAGTAGACAAAATAAGTTTGGGAACCCCTGAACTAGACTATAGAGGTATATATTGATTTTAATCTTCAGGTACAGATAACTATACGTAAATGTATGAGAATTTTTGATAAAACTGAATTAACTAATGCATTCCGCAATTTAGAAGGGGTTAAACGATTCGTCGTCGGCTCAGCTCTCGTCACAGGATATAACGCAATTAATATTATCAAATTTTATTTTCCGACCTGAAAATCTCACAGGAACATTCAGACAACCATAACAAAGCGAAGCCATATCAAGTGTATAATATTATATTATAATTTTTTTGATTTTATAATTATTAACGAAGTAACAACAACCGGCTAATAAATAACATTTGCTCTGAATAAAAAAATGGTAATCACAAAAATGTCACTGACTCGTGAAGGATTTGAACCTCCGCCCTCCGATGATCAAGTAGGAAACCTATATCGGCGCTCTTACCTACTGAGCTAACGAGTCTACGAACGGAGCGACCTATTTACGATACGGTATTGAAGAGATGACGTCATCACCTGCTGTGACGTCGCGACCTTGTCCTGGTCCATACTCGCGATTCATACACAAAAATATCAACTAAAAGGAGCTTTGACATTGGGCGCTAATTCGTAAATATGTCTTTAGTTTGATTCTATTATTTTGCACCAAATTAGATATTTGAATATAGGCAAGCTCTAAAATACGTTTTCAAACAATATGAATAATTTTATAATACCTACATTGTATTACATACCTACCGTCCAAAGACAAAAATTATAAAAAAACATTATTGTTTTAAATTAAATATCTAGCTTTAGCTTTTGATACACAGGATTTAAAAAATTTAAAGGTTTTTTTGTACCTACTCTTAAGATCTTTTATCTTACCCTACTCATTAGTAAATGTTGCTTTCGGTGCATCTAAATTTCTGCATAGATTCACACAAACCATTGATCGAACCGTCTAAGAAAGATCATATACGCAGATTTGATGAGCGAATAGCGCCTCAAATCTTAACTGAATTCGAATTTTGATGAGGGGACAAAAAAGTTGGAGACAAAAAAATTCAACACAAAAATATCACTGACTCGTGAAGGATTTGAACCTCCGCCCTCCGATGATCAAGTAGGAAACCTATATCGGCGCTCTTACCTACTGAGCTAACGAGTCTACGAACGGAGCGACTAATTTTGGATATAGTTTCGAAGTTATGACGTCATCATCTGACGGCGACTTCCAAACAATTTATAAAGGAAAATAGAAACGTAAGCTACATTATCCCACAATCCCTGCAGTTTTTCTACAGTTGGCCTCTCTCCAACATTTCACACAATGACAAAATTACTAATATAAAACACATTGTGAAACAGTCGTCAGTCCTGTTAGGTCCTAGGTAGCTCAGTGGTTAGAGCTGTCGCCCGGATCGCGAAAGATTTTGGTTCGATTCCCATCTCGGTGTCAAAGAGACAAAGTGGATTTTTTAAGCATTTTTCATTAGAATATTTTGTTTAAATAAACATGTCATGTCATCTTTATTTCATTAAATCACGAATATTGGACTTATATAATAGAAAAAAGAAAAATAACTGCATTATCACCTTAGCGTCATCGATGATGTCTCCCTCCTTCAGTAACTGTTCCGTCTCCAGGTCGGGGCGGGACTTCTCGAATATGTCCTTCATAGTTAGGAACGGCGTATTACGTGTAGGCATCACGTACAAAACTCGCGCTTTGATCTGTTCACAAATAATAATAAGGTAAACATAGTGTATGTTTCTATAACTTTATTTTATTCGAAAAATAAAAACAAACTGTCGATGTGTTTCGATGCATTTTTAAGGCTCATATTAAAAAAGAAGTGAATGAAAATTTAAATTAAACTAAATTTGAGCAACATTAACATATGCCCTACAAACAAAAAATAAGAAAATTGTTTACCATCTGTGAAAATAACGTGAAATACACTTATGAAAGTGTAATCAAAAAACAAAAGGAAAGAAAAAAACGATTAAAGAGTTCGGCGGTGTATTGGTCGGCGTGGTCAGTTTGCGATTTCAGAGTTCAGCAACTTTTACAAAATATAAGAAAAAGAAAATATTTAAGTTCCAGCATGCTCGGGAAAACACATTTATTAGTTTAGCACGATTGAATATAATAGAGTTTACCATCACTTATCCGTACTAGAGTCTAACAGTGGATGGCTCTGTTAACTTAACGATTTTTGTGTTATTTTTTTGTTTTGTCGATAACATGTAATTTTGCTGTATTTGTGTGGAAAATAAATTAAAATTACTATAACATTATTATTTACATTTATATTATTTCATATTAAACTAAAATGTTGAGAACCACTGAATCACTATCCACACTTAAGATGTCTATAACACGTCCGTTCACTCTACACGAGTGAATCCATTGAGGAGCCCGAACTGGGCTTCAGGAGGTTTTTATTTATTCAAAGGACTACTTCGAATATATTACGTGTTAACATAATGGCGCATGCTACTCATACGAATAAATATGACACCTTAAAGGACTATACTATTTCTCCGAAAACAAAATTTCGTCTGCTTTCGAAATGCTAATACGATTCCAAATAAACGCATTCTTCGATAAATAATTGATTATGCAACAGTTGTAGGACCCGTGGTCTAATTGTTTCATATTAAAATCTACCACAAGTACTTTGAATTTGAAAGAAATTCACGAACTTCACGTTACAACTATTGACATGTAATAGTAATTGTGATCGCGACGTTATACTTAAAGGATATTATCTTTAATAGCTATTGGGAAATGTCGAACAAAACGAAGTGTCTATGACATTTATATCATTCAAATCACCATTCGTTCTTAAAGCAGTTGTAAATTCAAAAGTTACACGATAGGGAATATGCACATTTTTGGAAAATGTTTTTATATGATAATTTACACCAATATGTAACTGTAAAAAAATACCCGGCACCGAAAAACTAAAATTTTGAAACATTAATAATTGATGAAAATATGTAATAGCCACGAGCAGTTTAAACTTTTTAAGCAGTTAAAAATTTTTGGCGCGCTCGTCGTGACGTCAAAGTACAAGAGATATGACATTTTAAATCAATATGGATTTTGGGTGATTGATTATTATTCAATTACCATAATCGATTAACGACTAATCGATTTTTTAAAGTATAATAGACTTTTTTCATAAATCATATAATTTACCATATTGGTGAAATAAAAATAAAAGCCTAAAACATCATTTAAATTGTAATCAGTTGTTATTTTGCGACATAATACATTGATGTTATCGCATCGATGTTAACTTTTTGTAACAACGACATCCCTATACGTGTACATTTTCGTCACATCCGCTCTGACAAGTAGCATGGCGTTTAAATATTTTGTAGTTACCGCGTTTATTTTGCACTTTTTAATAATTATTTTCAAGACGAAAACGAACTAATGTTGAAAAATATTTAGACAGACTTTATTCTAAAGCAATAACGATTGTAATAAAATATATTTAACCCTTTTTTGAATCAGACGCATATTCCCTATTCCATAAATAACTACCTATCGCAACCGGTATATGTATGATTGTGATAGATTTTAATATTACACAATCAGATGAAACCTGTCACTGATGCATGAATAATCTTCATGGAGATAATGTTTTTAAAAAACGTTCCTAAATATTCCGAATTTCCGTTGGAGGACAAATAGAACAGACCGTTCGTGTGCCACGTCAATTGGTACGAGTGATACCTTCTGTCCGAGCGCCGGTCTCTTTCCTTTGATCTTGTCGACATGTTGCCGCTGTATGTACGCGGTTGTGTCACCGAACACGTGACCCTCGATGCCGTTATCTAAAGGCTAAAACAAATAATATTGTTTAGTTCCACGCAATGTAATGGGCTTGGGCTCTCTGTACACGACTTGGCGAACGACGAACTTAGCGCCATGCAATGAGTTTTAGAGATAATCTAAAACATATTTTTAACATTTACTGTATTTTTATTTATTTAATATTTATTGCACAAATGTACAAGGGTGGGCTTAATGCCTTGGAAATTATCTGTTAGTCAACCGTTGGTTGATGTGGATATACAATGATAACATATGATATGAGATATGAGGTGTGTTCGGGGAATTTGTCTATTTCATCTGGCAGCTTATAGTATCAGAATGGTAGCGGTTTAGCGTCATATTCAAAAGTGAAAAAAAAAAACTTAATGAAAAATGCTTAAAATTGTCATTATCAAAATCCATATTTTAAAATTTCGATTAACATGAAAATTTATTTGATGAATTTAGCATTCACAATGCTATCTTGGAACAATCGCTCGGATTGCAAAAGGTCGTGGGTTCGAGTCCCATCTCAGAGTACCTTGGGCTGGTGGGGTTTTTAAGCATTTCATTAAGAATTTTATCCAATATAACATTGTGAATGCAAAATTAATCTAATATAATAATGAAGCTCATTAGAGCAAATAATCATAAAACAATCAGAGAAAATAGATCTTCTCGTACAACAATTAAGTACCCTAATGGGGCTTCTAACGACAATAATAGCCCAAGGTAAAAAATGAAGTTCCTTCGCATAGCAACATGGAATATCAATGGCTTGTCTCCTAATAAGCAAGAAGTAGAATTATTCATTAATTTCAATAATATAGATATCCTTTTACTATCAGAATCACACATGACTGATGAGAAAATCATCAAAATTAAGGGTTACAATATTTACTACACCAATCATCCGGACGGAACATCACATGCTGGTGCTGCAGTTATAATAAAGGAAAATATTAAACAGCATGCTCTTCCAAATTTCAAGCAATCTTTTCTCCAGGCTGCAATAGTATCAGTCGATGACTGGCAGGGTCCGCTTGTAGTCGCCGCGCTGTATTGCCCACCTAGACATCGCATCAATGAACAAATGTTTAATAACTTCTTCCAAACTCTTGGTGCCAGATTCATTGCTGGAGGAGATTGGAACTCCAAAAATACTTTCTGGGGTTCTAGGCTGACCACAACTAGAGGTAGGGAACTAAAAAAGGCTATAGATACAAACTCACTAAACGCCTTGTCATCGGGGGAACCAACTTACTGGCCATCAGATCCAAATAAAACACCCGATCTTGTTGACTTCTTCATCACCAATGGAATGTCAGATTTATACACAAAAGTTGAGTCATGTCTGGATGGTTCTTCCGATCATACATCAGTTATATGTACACTGAGCACCACGGTAATATGGAAAGATACTAATGAAAAATTGTACAATAGCAAAACAGACTGGAGGTCTTTCCAGGAATACATACAGGAAAATGCAGATCTACATATGCCGTTGAAAACTGAGGAGGACATTGAAAATGCTGCCTGGTATACTACTAATCTTATTCAAGTAGCTGCCTGGTTATCTACTCCGCATATTGAGTACAGCCCACAAAAATATGACTTTACGCTGGAAATACGAAATATGATAACTGTAAAGCGAAGATTGAGAAGACAATGGCAAACTAGCAGGAATATGCATGATAAAAAAGCGTTTAATAAAGCACAAAAAGATCTGAAAAGAATAATCAAAGAAAATGAAAATCAAACACTTCAAGATAAACTAAAAACTTTATCACCTTTTAAAAGAGACGACTACTCACTCTGGAAAATAACGAAATCACTAAAAAGGCCAAAAGAACACATACCTCCATTAAGACAACCAGATGGTAACTGGGCTAGGAAACCTGTAGAAAAAGCAGAACTATTTGCTCAAAACCTTGAAGAAGTTTTTAAACCAAATGAGCCTGACATAATGTTTCCAGAGAAGGAATTCGACGACATTCTTGATAGCGATCAGCAGATGTCCCTGCCGTTACGGCTATTTACTCCTTTTGATATCAGAAATAGTATCAAACAATTAAAAAAGAAAAAGGCCCCAGGATTTGATTTAATCACGTCAGAGATATTGAATCGTCTGCCAAGGAAGGGAATCGTTCTCATAACAATCCTTTACAATGCAATCCTCAGATTACATTATTTCCCCCTTATGTGGAAAATTTCAATCATAAATATGATCGGAAAGCCAGGCAAACCGGCTACAGAAATTACCTCATACAGACCTATAAGCCTTTTACCCCTGTTATCCAAACTGTTCGAGAAGTTGCTACTGAAGCGATTGCTTCCTATACTTGAAGAACGAAATACAATACCAGACCACCAGTTCGGTTTCAGACAACAACATGGAACGACTGAGCAAATACACAGGGTGGCCCACACAATACGTCAATCTCTGGAAAGGAAGGAATACTGCTCGGCTGTCTTCCTTGACATTCAACAGGCGTTCGACCGAGTGTGGCACAAGGGTCTCTTATGTAAATTGAAGATTTCCTTGCCACATACTGCATACATGCTCCTCAAGTCTTACCTACAAGACCGATTGTTCCAGGTAAAGTACGGAGACTGTCTGTCCCAATGCCATCAAATAGAAGCTGGAGTACCGCAGGGATCTGTTCTCGGGCCTATATTATATACAGTATACACTGCTGATCTGCCTACTTCCAATCAAGTCATCACCGCAACTTATGCAGACGATACCGCTGTTTTGTCTTGTGATAGATGTCCTATAACTGCATCGCTGAAACTTCAAAGACAACTTAATGTTATAGAATCGTGGTTAAGAAAGTGGAGAATCAAAACTAGTGTCACAAAATCTATGCACATAACTTTCACTTTAAAAAGAGATAGCTGTCCTCCAGTGACATTTGGTGGAAGTATTTTACCACAGCAAAACACGGTCAAGTATCTAGGTATGCACTTGGACAGAAGGCTCACTTGGCGCGAACACATAAAAAATAAAAGAGAGCAGGCTAACAGAAAATTTATGGAGATGTATTGGCTGGTGGGCCGGAGATCTACACTTAGTCTGGAGAATAAAATCATAATTTATAAATCCATAATAAAACC